TTTTATAGCAGTAAGATTAGTAACCTTTTTAGTACATATGGTATATCCCAATTAGTCACTGAATCTACACGTGTTACTAATATTAGTTCTTCTTTGATTGATTATGTACTCACTAAACAAAGTCACGTCAAAGCAACAGTTCATTATTACCCTAAAATTACTGACCATTTTATAATATCTGTAGATATCAACCACACTGTGAATGAAAAACTTAATGAAACTGTATATAAATCTTTCAGAAATTTTGATGAAGTTCATTTAACTAATATTCAAACCCAATTAGAATTGTGTAGGTGGTCTTTAAACTGTGTTGACATAAATCATTTGTATGATGAGATTCTTTATAAATGTACAGAAATTGTTGACAGGGTGTCACCAATACAATATTATAAATGTAAGAATAATTTACCATGGTTTGATAATGAACTTATAAATGAAACAAAGAAGCGTGATTCTGCATATAAAGATTTTAAAAAATCTAATGAGGCAAATAAAAACTTTCTCTGGAATAATTATAAGAGGTTAAGAAATAATGTGGTTAATTTGTTAAAAGTAAAGAAAAAGAGGTACTATTTTGAAAAAATTGACAGACATATCAGTAATCCTAAACTTATGTGGAAGACTATTAAAGAATTAGTCAATAGTAATGAAAAGGTTAAAATCGATTATGTACAATTTGAGTTTGGAGACCATACTATTACATGTAATAATGAAGTTAGTTTAGCTAAAAACTTTAATGTATATTTTATAAATAGTATTGAAGATATAGCTTTGAGTATTGGGAATAGAGGTACTACATGGCAGAACATAAACTACAATTTGTATCCTGGTATTTGTAAATTTAAATTGCTTACTATGTCTGAATTAAATATTCTTGTTAAAGGTTTAGAAAATAAGTGTAGTGTTAATGATATTATAAATTCTAGATTATTAAAACATATTGTGAATTCTGTAGGTCATGTAATTTTAAATTTTATTAACGTATCCCTAGAATATGGGAAATTTCCTAACAAATTAAAAACAAGTACTGTTATTCCAATACCAAAAGTTCCTAACACAACAAAAGCATGTGAGTTTAGACCAATAAATACTTTACCATCTCTTGAAAAAGTTTTGGAATTAGCAGTTTACAATCAGCTATTAGAGTACTTTGAAATGAATCATATTTTATTTAGTAACCAATCAGGTTTTCGTAAAAAATATTCATGTGAAACGGCTTTGCAACTTTCATTAACGAAATTTAAATACAACATTGATAATAACAAATTTACGGTAGCTGTATTTCTCGATTTAAAGAGAGCATTTGAGACCATTGACAGGAATATCCTACTTAAAAAGTTGCAAGGTTATGGAGTTGATGGTACTGTTCTTGTTTGGTTAACAGAATATTTGACTGACAGAGCACAGCGAGTAAGAATTGGTGGATCAGTATCTGACACATGTATTAATGATCTTGGTGTTCCTCAAGGCAGTGTGCTTGGGCCTTTATTATTTCTTATCTACATAAACGATATTACACTATTTGTTAATTCTGAATTTATTAATTTATTTGCAGATGATACTCTTTTAGCATGTAGTGGTCATAGTTTAACTCAGTGTATAAATACTATGAACGAAACCTTGAAGTGTGTTAATAAATACCTGCAAGTTAACAAATTAAAATTAAATGTTAATAAAACAAAAGCTATGATAATCACAACCAAATATAGGTATAATAATATTGACATTAATGGTTGTCATTTAACTATCGATAATGAAAATATTGAATTTGTCACTGAAATTAAATATCTTGGTTTCTTGCTTGACAATACACTGTGTTTTAATACTCATTTTAAATATGTTTATAATAAAATATCTAAGAAACTATTTTTCTTTTCAAGAATTTGTAGTCATTTAACTATGCAATCTAGAGTTACAGTATACAATACTATAATTAGACCACATTTTGAGTACTGTCCATCAGTACTTAGTATGTTTAAATTGAATAAGATATCACAGTTGCAGAAGTTACAGAGCCGAGCCATGAGAATTATATTAAGATGTAATAAATATACTCCCATTGATTTTATGCTATCTGCTCTTCAGTGGTTTTCTGTAAAAAATCGATTATACTACTGTACAATGGTTTTTATATATAAGCTTATAAATAATTTGTTACCTGATTATTTTAACCAGTATATTATAAGGAATCATGAAATTCATGACTACTTTACTAGAGGTGCCAATAACTTCCATGTTTGGAGAACAAATTATTGTCATACAATGAATTGTCTATTTAATGAAGGGGTTGTTAATTTCAATAGATTACCAGTAAAGTTAAAAAGATGCCAGTCACTTGTTGCATTTAAAAGAGAGCTTGTTAAATACATAAAAGTAAATAATATGTGTTAATTGATCCTTAGTTTGTCTATTCTCTTATTGTGTTACAAATTGATTTGTATATTAGGATATCCTATTTAATAAATTATTATTATTATTAGGCAGTAAAGTACAAGATTTAATGCCGCGGCTAATATTTGCCTCGTATGTATGCCTCGGCTGCGCCTCTCTATTAAAGTAGTTAAAGCATTAAATCTACTTTTCTGTCAAGTAAAACATAATTTTTTTGCCCATAAATTTTAATTTTATCATAATAGCAAACAATGCTATTTATTTTATATTATTAAAATTGTATTCACATATTCATGTATTCACTTCTTTCATGAATAATAATAATTTCATCAGGTTATCTGTGATTGCTATGAGAAGAGAGTTATTAAGTAAATAACCTAGGTGCACAGTAATTGCCATATTGTTCCTATTTAAATCCATAAAAATAACTACATTATGCAATCATACTTTAGTTACTATTCAATAAACCATTTAAAAAAGTTTATTTTTTTGAAAACAGAAAATTCTTTTTAATGTTTGGAGCTTTGTCAGCACTGATATCAAAAAAATGTAATGACTTTAAAATAACATGTCGTAAGTCATACAAAAGCAATCTGTTTTACTTTCCATTGTTGCTCTCTAAAAGTTGATTTAAAATGGTAACAACTGGCAATCCTGATAGTGCACTGATATAACTTACCAGGCTAATCACGGGTGGCCTGGTATACACTGCACAGTGACGGCGCATACAAGAAGTGCAGTTAAAATTACTAATTATAACTAGACAATTGTTTTGATTAAAAAAAAAAAGAATTTCAGATTTGTATTCAGAGAAACACATACGATTAACCTTAAAAAATTGACCTCCACTTAAAGTTACACCCAGTATAAATATTATTTTAAAAAATAAGTAAATACAGTAATATTTAAGATAAATAAAAGGCCAGTGCAAATACCAAGTACAAAAAAAACAAGTAGATGTTGTAAGAATGGGATAAGTGATGTTATAACTTATCTTAATATTGCAACAGTGGAATGAATGATTTTATCTTATAGTTTAGGTTCTATAAAGCCCACAAATTCCATATTTGCATCAGACAAAGGAATTTCTAAATATAGCAGATGTTTTTTTTTTTTTTTTTCAAGAATATGTTAATGACTTACCGCACAAGTGTCTTCTGTTGTAACTATCACAGCCATCTTTGCAATAAGTTGGGTTACAGATAAAAACTAGAAGTATCACAGATATTAAAAAAGATCGAGATAGGTATAGGGAAATCAAATTCAAATCGATAGAGAGCAAAATTTAACTAAATTTAATATCTTAAGAACATCAAACAATATTGTAACTCCGTTATATATTTATTTTTACCGAATTTAGTATAATTTAAAAATACTTCTACTGATGTAAAAGCTATTGCCCTGCTAAATATTTATGTACATATTAAATTTATAAAATTTGGTGTGGATTATGGTTTGATAACACTTTTACACTGACAACGATGCACTCTGAAATTTGGCATGACACATCTTCTTATAAGATACCATTCTGTTTAAGAAAGGGTTTGAGCACCCCCTCCACTCCGCCACTATGCAAGTTTTTTAACATTTTTATCGCTTGTTTTATGCCCCTTAATTAATAGGCATTATCTCGCAAACATGAAAAAAATCTAAGCATTCGTTTATAAGTTATAATGAATAATCGAGAAAAAAAAATTATATTTAACACCCCGTATCTCGGAAACGAAGCCTTCTATGACATATGTTTATAGGAACTTTTCTTTTTAAAAACATGTGTTCTATCTCCTGTTAAAGTTTGTCTACAAAAAACTGACTCACCGTGTATATACGGAGACAGGGAGATATACATACACCTATCCTGCACTTATATTCAGCACCGTACTATGAAATCGTTAGCTTCAAAGCTCTATATCTTTAAACCTACACATAGGATCGCTTTGGGCCCATGACAACTATTGCTCAGGAAGGTGAGAGCTATATCATATTTCAATTTCAGCCATTTTGGAAAAAATTCAGTCTGGAAAAAAATTTATACTTAATTTTTTTCTTATTTTTTTTATGAGGAATATCTCCTTAAAGTTTGTCGACTTAATCCTGAAACACCCTATATATGCGGTTAATAAGTTGTTGAAGACCATATTAAAAATTTATATTAAAACAAATACCAGAGCGTTCATAAATGATTACAAGTCACGTGACCAATAATTTTGTTTGGAACAGTATTTTTATTTCCTTTATGTTGGCAATTAAATTTCGGTGAAATTAAAAATTATTAAAACAAAGGATCAAGACATAAAAACCCAACATTCTGTTTCATTGGCTGTGACTGAATCAATTTTTTTACGAAATACTATCAACCAATCAGCGATCGCATTATCTCAAGCATTGACGTAATGTCTTTTCATTGTTCATTGTAAACGAGTCATTACCAATTGTTCAATGTTAGGTTGCCTAAGCTCGGTGGTCACGTGGCTTGTAAACATTTATGAAGGCTCTGTATAATGTGCATATTGTTATAAGACAGTTCTTTAATATCAGAATATTATAAACAATTTTGTACTTTTGGGTTTAGTCGAGCTATTTTAATGTTAACATGTTTTTTGTTTCAGTGTTCTAAACAATGATTCGCCAGTAATTCTAACACTTTCAGAGAGTTCCACTATTGAACTAGAAAAGTTAGTTGATGCACCCTTGGTTAGTACAAGCACAAATGAGAAAAATTTGCCAAAAAATATTTCCGGACAAAGACAAAATGTAGAAGCTGTTAAAGCAAATATAACTCAATTCTCTAATGATATTACACAAAATAAAACACAGATACCGGAAGACTTAGCTCTTCCCAATATGAATAAAAATGTATCTGGAGAACAAAATGAAGAAATTCCTTCTTTTTCTGAATGGGCACAGAAACGCATTGAAGAAGTGGAAAAAAATGAACAAATTAATTCTTCATTGAAAGGACACACTGTTAATGGTAAAGCAGCAACTGCAAAATTGAGGTGGAAAAATTATGCTTCTTTGGATTGTGGGGCTAAAGTTATAGCTGCCAATCCTGAAGCTGTTAGCCCAGGTGCCATTCTGTCTCCTTCAAGTGATGAATACAAATTAAACACTTGTACAAGTCGGATTTGGTTTGTTGTGGAGTTGTGTGAAGCTATTCAAAGTAAAAAAATTGATTTGGCTAATTATGAACTATTCTCTTCATCTCCTAAAGACTTTCTAGTTTCAGTAAGTGATAGATATCCCACACGGGATTGGTCAATTGTGGGTAAGTTTACTGCAAAAGACGAACGAGATATCCAAAGCTTTGATTTGGATACCCACATTTTTGGTAAATACATCAAAGTTGAAATTAAGTCACATTACGGTTCAGAACATTATTGTCCAATCTCATTGTTTCGAGCCTATGGAACTTCTGTATTTGAGGTTCTACAAAAAGAAGACCCTGGTAACGTCAATCCAACTGAAGATGATGACGACGACGACGACGATGATCATATTTTAAATCTAAATGATGACCACGATGAATCCCAAAAGAATTTATTTAGTTCTGCTACAGATGCAGTTATGTCAATTGTTAAAAGAGCTGCTGAGGTGCTAGGAAATAAAGTGAATAATCGTACTACTCAGGAACAAAATGGAATCTTAAATTTATCATTATCAGTAAATTCATGCAGTACTCCTAATTATATGATTTTATGCAAAAATTGTAGTAACACATTTTTTCAGCAAGTATATGAAATAATTAGTTGTGACTTTGCTTATATAAGAAAACTGGTTGAAATACCTTTGGTGTATAAAGCCTTAAGCGGCTCATGGATATGTCATACTTTTGGTTACAAAACTGATGCACTAATAAATTCTAAATACATAAATTCAATCACAAATTATATTGCATCATTCTTCCCATTTAAATACTTATGTGCAATGTGCCATGAAATTTCTATATTAGAAAATAGAGCCATTTTAAATATTTCTCAGCAGTTCTCAAATTGGACCGGAAATATTACTACGGAACAAATTATTAATTTAAAGGTACAAGAAACAACTCGTATAGATGACATTAAAGATTCTGCAAAAAAAATAGAGGATTTAAATGGGACTCGACCCCTAAATTTGTCTTCTATTGAAGATAATTTGAAAAGTGCTCCCAAGGATAATATCACATATGTATCACAAATCAAACCAACAAAAACACTAACTTCTGAAGTACAAATTAGTCAAACAGATATTATTTCGAATGGTAATAATGCAACTGAGCAAAATCAGTCTCCAGAAAAAACTTTACCTCTAGAATCAGCCGAATCAGTTTCAATTGAAAATTTGAATGAAAATAATTTAGATACCACAACTGAAATTGAAGGAATAGAGGCATTAGATGACCATTTGGAACACCTTATTTCTGATTTTAATAATGACAATAGTCAAAATATTATTTCAACAACTAGTACTACAACTACACCACAAGCACAGAAGGAATCAGTCTTTTTAAGACTTTCAAACAGAATTAAGGTAATTTTTTTATTTATCTAACCAAAAATAATCTTACTAATAAGTCTTTTGTAATAACAGTATAGATATGTATGAATATTTCATAATTTACATATACATGTAATGAATACAGATAGTATACTATAAAGGATGTAACACAAGAATGTGAGAAAAAGAAAAGTGCTATTTCCTCATCCAAACTTACACAATTAACTTGTAATATATTCCCAGTGCATTTTATGATTAAAAATAAGATATTGTACATGGACATTTTCCACTATTTGATCCACTATTCGGTAAATATTTTGCTACAATTGCCAAAACCACATTATTAGTTATTATACCTCTTTAGCTCCAATAAACAATACTTTTTTCCATCTGATTAATGGTAATGAAGTAATTGCAATAATTTGTGAACTAAAAAACAAAATTAGCATTAGCATGAATTGTTTATAAGTGAAGCTACTAAAGAAAATATCTACATACTACGAAGGAGTAAAAAAGAAACACCGGCACTACTATATTTCTAAACAAATAAGAATGACATTATCCCGGCAAATAATAAGTTTACGTAAGCATTCATCAATATAGGCCGGCTTATCAGAACATTTCTGCTAGAGTTTTTATAACTGAAATAAACTAGAAAACATATGATTTACACGGCGATCGGCACTTCCATCCAACACCATATTCTAAGAACAACAATTGTGTCCTACCTATCGGTTAGTAGTGGACAATTCTGCAAATCATTAAAGTGTACAACTGCTGTTCCCATCTATAAAAACAATGATCCCGAGGATATTTCCAATTACAGATCTATATCGTAGTTCACCGTTCTTTCTAAGGTATTTGAATGTTTAATTTAAACAAGGTAACAATTTTTCTTGAGAAATGCAAAATAACAATTAACTGCCGATATGGCTTTCATTGAGCTAAATTCACTCAGTCAATGGTTTGAGAAAATTTTTAACTTTTTAGATAAGGGAAGACCTGTAGCGGATCTATTTTTTACTCCAGTCGAATTAGACTGAAACATGACTGAAACATTTTCTGAACATGAAAAAGTTATAGTAAACATTTTATTGCACTTTATGATGGGGAAGGACATATAGAATGATAATATCAAAAAAATAACTCGAAAGAAGTGACGTTAAATTGGCAAATTGCAAATAAGTGGCAAATTTACATGTTTTTTCACTTTTTACTACTCACGAAAATCTAAACAACCTATCGGAAAATTAGTCATTTTATGTTGTAGTCAATTAAATTAGATTTTCGTGGGCAGCAACATTCATTTGTCACTTATTTGCGATTTGCCAGCTTAGTGTCATTACTTTTGAGTTACTTTTTTGATATTATCATTCTACATACCCTTTTCCGTCATAAAGTACAATATACCTAATGTATACTAATAATTTTTTCAAGTTTTCAGGTTTTTTGATCTTATTCGACTGGAATATTTTGACTTAAATTTGCTTTTAATTGTTTAAATATTTTATCATCAAAAGTAAATTATTTAACATTGGTTTTAGGATATTCTTAGACTGGATAATTCAGTTTTTATCTAACAGACCTAAGTATGATAAAATGAAGGAGGCCACATCTGTGAGCAGTGTCAGTCAAGGCGTGAGCCAGTGATCGGTGCTGAGACCGATGATTTTTCTTTTATTTGTGACTTGGCAATTCTTCGATTCTTGAGAAATACAATAGAGTTTGTCAGAGCCAAATTACATGCTTTGCCACACGGTGTAAATTAAATAGGGTTATTTTAAATATTTGTAAGACAAAAAATTCTACTTAAATTTTAATAATATGTAATATCTACTATTTCGGGATCATCTGTAAGTACCAATTTTCCGGATGTCCATTTTGACTCAAATAGCAGCTCATAGCAATATACATTGAATGGGCACATCACCAAGCATCGATATATTATTAAAAATTTCAGGCATTGAAACTGTCGCAATGAATGGTAATGGAATAAATGTATTTAAGAAATTACATCAGAATTGTAATTTTGTTGTAATAAACAATGGGAGTGGGGATAAGTATGGCAAATAAAATGTCAAATAACTCTATATTTAGTTTTCAAGTTCACTGAATTTAAAAGATATTTTTGTTAAATGACTTTTTCTGATTTATTAAAATGGTGTGACAATTCTGTCTAGCAGTACACTCAGTACACTCATTACTACTGTTTAAATATGTAAGAAAACCTTAAAAGAGGTGGTTGTACTCATTAATGCTTGGTCTTTAAAGCAGAGGAAGTCATTGGAAGACTTTTTCGACACCAAATATTGATCCTTGATTATTTTAACAGTGTCATCAAATTCTGACAGTGATCACTGGCGATCATTGCCAGCTACTTTTGAAGCTCTATATAAAAACATTTGCTTTTGAAGCTCTTGTTTTTGACAAAAAGGGTGCTAAAATGACATCAATGTATTTCAATACATTTTTCGATGTCAAAGTAACAAACATTTTTTCCAGTGGTGAGCCATAATTTTTAAGGAAAATGTAGTTAACATATCTAATATTATGGTACTACTCGTATTATGGTTGAGATTTTTCATGTTGAATTTAATATTAAGTAGGTATTTATATGTTGTGTACAAAAATGTTATAATATTTTTATTTTTTTTTTAGAAGACATCAAAAGTTGTATAAAAAATATTCTAAAATCCGAACAAGGAATATGCTCCTCCGTTTCTGACATGTCATTGTGTTACACCTTGTATAGATTTTCTTTGTCCAGTACATACTAAATGCTAATTATTGATATGGCCCATGGTTTTATTGGTTCGCGGTCAGGGGTCAAAAATGGTGGGCAAGTGTCAACCTTACATTGACTTATCTGATAGTGTGATTTATAAAATTAATGATTAATGATAAAACATTAAATATTATATTGTGCAGTAAGTTGTCTATTGCCCACGAGAGCGGAGTTGAGCGTACAAACGAAGTGAGCGTTCATCCGCTCAAGTGGGCAATAGGCAACCGCACGAATGCAATGAAATCTTAGAGTCCAGGGACGAAGCCCCGGTGGCGTCCACATATTTTTATTCAGTTTAAGTTGACATAAATAACTGTCATTTAAATGTCACTTTTTAAAAATATTTTGGAATGTAGGTATTTAAATTTTGCGTGTTTTATTGGCAATTCGCATGCAACGAGTAAGATTACCGCACGCAAATAAATAGAGTGGGCAAACAGCTAGTTCCCGACCTAAAAAACATGCGAAAAGATAGGACTTATCCGTCATGAGTAATAAAAATAATGTAAACCATACTACTAATAGATATCTTAGTTTGTCAAAGCATTAATCCTAATCGCAGGATGACATTTTAATAAAGGGTAACTTCAAAATTTAAATACATTTTTTTTTGCTTTTTATTAAAAAAAAATACATGCACTTAAATCTGCTTAAATCAAAGTTTACTTTAATAGATGCCATGTTCTTCTGTTTCAGGTATTAGAAAGAAACATGTCTTTATCTAGTCAGTATTTAGAAGAGTTAAGTAGAAGGTATAAAAAACAAGTTGAGGAAATGCAACATTTGTTGGAAAAAACCATAGTTACTCTTCGCGAAGAAGCCCAAAGAAAGGATTTAAGAAATAAGCAATTAGAAGATCGATTAGATAATTTGACAATCATGATGGAATCCTTAGTAGCTGAAAAGCATAATTGGATCTTGTCAATATATTGTTTAATGACGAGTACACTAGTCTTACTAGGAATTTATTTTTTTTGTCGAAAATCTACATCATATATTGATTCCACAAGAGAAAATAAAGAAACTGTTGAAATTTTGCGTCGTAAATCTATTGATGTTGTAACACATAGTGTTCCTATGAAAAAGAAGAGGAGACCCAGTGATCAAGCTTTAAAAATTGTGCGCTGCTCAGCACTAAGTGGCGAAGAAGATAAACATAAAGCCAACAATCAGCGGCAAAGGAAAAGGAAAAAAAGAAACCTAACGAGATCCAATTCAATCAGTAATATAAAAGATAATAGTTATACAAGTGGCAGTATAAAGTCTGATGAAGAATCTACAGTAGATTGGATAGACAGAAATCACCAAATTATTGAGGACATACCCTTCGCTTTAGAAGAAAGTGACCATACTACTTTAGAGGCCTATCCACTTGAAAATGAACTGATGAGATTAAATTCAATAAATGAGACGCCTACTGCACTTAGCTCGAGAATGAACAGAATTTCTAGTCAAAATCATGGAAATCATAATGTGTCACAAGATGAAATTTCTTTTACAGGGAGAAATGATTTACATAATAAAATAAATGATAGTGCAGGAGAACCAGCAAAAAAAGAGAAAAGAAGTTTTAAGAAGCTTTTAAAAAAAGTTTTCTAAAATTGTGCCAATACGTCATTTATATTACATTTAATGTATTATATATTTGACAAATTGTTGGTATGTGATATATTAAGTATTTTAAGACTGCAAGATTTATGAAAGTTAAGAATTTTATGTAATCTTAGAAAATGATTATATTTTTTTTTCACTGTTATTTATTTATATGGAATAAAAAATGTAGACTGATTTGAACTTTTGAAATACCTACCTTTATATCATATCAGACCCGTTTTAGGGGCATACCCTGGGGATGTCTATTATAAAAAATGCAAAATGGTCAAATTATGATAATGTTGAATAATTTAATAAAAACGGTTAAATAATTGGAAAGCACTTTGAGCACTAAAAACTACTACTATTCACTTATTTATTTGTTCAGTACAAACATTATAATTTTCACAGTTAGAAGTGACATGACATAATCGGGTCCCGTCGTTTATACAGTCCTGATGTCTCATTATTGTTTTGATAAGGAGTGGAACCATTATTGTAATAATTATGCAAGTTTATGTTGTACATTAATAAAAATATATAAAAGGAAAATAAATGTGTAATAAAACTCATCCATCCTAAACGAGAAATGAAGTGTTCTCGGTTGAGGCATTGTTAAGTGTCAGTTCTGAGTTCGACTTGCTTAAGACAATATTTAGTAAATAAATGTTTATATTCCTCATTAGAATTCTATCCTTCGATGTAATTTATATTTATGTTTGTGTTTATAAATTTGGCTATTCCTATACATGTTTGTTAGATCATTACTGAGGAAAATAAATTATTATTATTATTATTATAAAAATTTGTTCACGAGAATATGAAGTAATACAAAAATTATTTATTTTACTGGAACATTTACTGAATGTTGTAATTTCTTTTTATACGTTTTATAATAATAATAGTTTATGTTAACTACATAGTACTAATACAATTATAATTTAGAATACATTGTAGGTAGAGCGTTTAAATAAGCGAAAAAAATTACAAAAATAAATAGGTCCATTAAAACCAAAACATGGTTGTGCATGGACAGTATGGCTATAATCATATTGATGACGCTCATATATACAGGGCTGGAAAATCCACATGGTCCATCTGCCTTTACATGAGAGCGACAAAGTAAAGTAAAGAAATCTGTGCGTTAGACAAGGTTGGCTATAGTGAAGACGTTTCATAATCTGAATAGCCACTGCCCGTTTCGGGTTAGAACTATTCAGATTATGAAACGTCTTCAATGTAACCATCCTTGTCTATCGCACGGATTTCTATAACTTACTTTATCACTCTCACGTAACGGGCGATGAAACATGGGGACTTTCTGAACCTGTATATAAAAATAAAATGAAATAACAATAATCTAACTAATATCAAAGAACATGCAAACTAAGAAAAAAGTAACTAAACCTAAAAAATAAGAAAAATTATATGGACTACATATACAATGTCAGGAAAGAAGGTTATTTAGTTAAGAATTTTAGTTAGATTCCTAGTTTCTGTTCTACCTGATGTAATTATACAGGGTGTCCCGGAAATGATGGGCAATCTCTCGGATATGGATAGATAATGAGAAAATAATGTCACAAGTTTTTTCCTCCAGGCTCATCCTGTAGAGTTATTAGCTCTTGAAGTTGAGAATTAAAAATGTTTTTTTTGCTGTAACTTTTGTATTTTTCAATAAATTTTGAAAACTTTTTGACTGGATCTATAATTTTTGAAGCTGCTTTGGATGATAATATGAAATCCTCGATAATAATTATGGGGGCCCGGGGGCAAAGCACCCCCCATCAAAATTTCTAGAAAAAAAAATTTTGTTCCACTATACCCCAAATTTTCCATCATTTTATAAAAATTTATGGTATTTTACGTAAAAAATGTATACTTGTTGAATATCCATAAAATAGATATTTTTCAAGTGCCCCCAAAAGAAAAAGTCAAGTGGGTTCATATCTGGAATTCGGGCAGGCCAATGAATAGGTCCACCGCGACCTATCCAGCGATTAGGATATACCTCGTTTAAATGGTCCCTTACTGCAGCACTAAAGTGAGGCGGCGCCCCATCGTGCATGAATATCAGTGCATTTCTGGTTTCAAGATCAACATCTTCTAACAGTTGTGGTAATTGATGCACAAGGAAATCTAGGTAACGTTGACCATTCAGTCTAGGGGGTAACACAAATGGACCCAATAAGTAAGGACCAATAATTCCACTCCAAACATTAACATAAAATTGTCTTTGGTGCCTAGTTTCAATAATAGCGTGTGGGTTCTCATCAGACCAATAATGTAAATTATGGGAGTTAATAACTCCATTCCTCCCAAAACTTGCTTCGTCAGTATACAGAATTAATCTCGTAAACATAGGATTTTGCTCATGTCTCTGAAGAAACCATTGAGAAAACTGTACTCTTGCACGAAAATCATCAGGATTAAGAGCATGCACTTTTTGGATATGGTAAGGGTGAAGAAGCTGTTCTCTAAGGATTCTTGCAACAGTGGTCTTTGGAACATTGGTAAAAGAAGATAATGACCTAATGCTAACTGTTGGATGAGCAGCAACTTCGTCCAGTATATTTTCCTCTACTTCAACTGTACGTGCTGTTCGCGGGGCACCCCTGTTTGCAGTAACAGGAGCAAACTGACCTAAAGACATTAAAATTTATTTAATATCCATTTTGTTTAATAATAGTAATCGTATTTTACCAGTTTCTCTTAATCTTTGATCAATACGTTCGAAAGTTTTGCGATCCGGAATCCTTCTATTAGGATAAGAATGCTGATAAAATCTTCTTGCTGCCGAAGCATTACAAAGAGCCCGCCCGTACATTAAATGCATATCAGCATATTCTTCATTGGAATACTCCATATTTTATAACAAATTATGAGTTATGAGATGAGTCTTAGATTTAAAACTACGTATTTGACAAGTTTGACAATTTAATTGCCTTTGGCATACTCTGACATGTCAAAGCCAACCACGATTAAATCTGTGTTTCAATTAAATAAAATGTCTCAAATTAAATGGTACCTTCCTCTTTAAACGGGTTTATCTCAAAAAATATCTATTTTATGGATATTCAACAAGTATACCTTTTTTACGTAAAATACCATAAATTTTTATAAAATGATGGAAAATTTGGGGTATAGTGGAACAAAAATTTTTTTTCTAGAAATTTTGGTGGGGGGTGCTTTGCCCCCGGGCCCCCATAATTATTATCGAGGATTTCATATTATCATCCAAAGCAGCTTAAAAAATTATAGATCCAGCCAAACAATTTTCAAAATTTATTGAAAAATACAAAAGAGCAAAAAAAAACATTTTTAATTCTCAACTTCAAGAGCTAATAACTCTACAGGGTGAGCCCGGAGGAAAAAATTTTATATGAACATGTGACATTATTTTCTCATTATCTATCCATATCCGAGAGATTGCCCACCATTTCCGGGACACCCTGTATATTTTTTAAAAATCTTTTTTTAACGAGTTTATTTTTTCTAAATAAATTTTGTACATTTGTGGAAAATTATTAAAGATTTTTTGTGACATGAGTATGACAGCATAAACTAATATTTCTTTGTGAAAGATCAATTTTTGCATTATTATTTTCTTTAAATCTTGTACAATAACAATGATTAACTTTTTCAAACGTTTTGTTTTTGTAGATAAAGAGAACAATCTGGTGCATATACAATTGTCTAATATCAGGTATTCTAGTTTCTAGGATTAATGTCTCAAATGTGTAAATTAGCTTTTTATTATAAATTATCTTTATTATGTGTTTATGTAGTATATCAACTTGCCTAAGGTGACAATATGCAGCGCTACCCCAGCTCAGAATTGCATATTGTAGTCTTAATTGGACTATTGAAACGTCTTCAATGTAACCATCATTGTCTATCGCACGGATTTCTATGACTAACTTTATCGCTCTCACGTAACGGCCGGTGCACTATGGGGACTTTCCGAACCTGTATACTCTGCGCCTGCAACTAAGGATCTGCTTGTATTGCTCAATATTGACCGATCCGGTAGGTTTATTGTTTTTTGATAATAATAAACTTAATATTAATAAACTATTTAATAATGTTAAAAAGAAAACGAATTATTCAAAACCAAACTATCGATTTTTACAAAAAAATATTTTGAAAATATTGTTTTTTAAAAATACACGTGATGTTAGATGGGGGGTGGGGCGCAGCTTACAACCTCACCACGTATCACCAGGGGGGAGGGAGGGTGTAAAAAAGTGGCCCAACAACCTTATGTGATTAATGGCCGATCCCTTAGTAAAAATACTTTTCTATTTAATTTATAAAAATGTCTACCAGAAACAAGTTCATACTAGGATACAACACGGTAATATAATATAATATAAATTCAAGTAGAAATGGTTTTTGTTTTAAATAATTCGCTTTCTTATCACATTATTTATTAAATAGTTTATTAATATTAAGTTTATTATTATCAAAAAACAACAAACCGACCGATCAATATTGAGGGATACAAGCAGATCCTTAGTTGTAGGCGTAGAGTATATGCTTCGAGTGTGTGCGAGAGAGACGCAGTATACGGAGGCGGCCGAGAAACGTGGCGCGCGCCTTTATTAATAGCATTTATTTTGAGCGAAAAAATCGAAAATTATAAATTTGTTTAAAAAAAATTGATTAAACAATTTTTGACCATTAGTAATGTCTGGCAACATGCGGATATGTTTCAAGGGCCACTTTTTTAGTAAGATTATGAAGAAAAATCGAATGAGAATCATGTTCTTAGCGGGAACGACAATACAGCCTGGACTACTTAGAATTTAATATTATATTATCTTTCAGTAACAAAGAGTGATATTTAGGTAAACATTTTATATTGTTGGAAAATGGCATAAAAAATGTTTTTTCTAGTTTACCGTTAATAATTTGTGGCTAAATCAATTAAATATCATTGATAAATCTATTTCAGTTTTATTTTTTTTAAATTTCCCATGTTTCATCGTTATATAAAATAAGTGTCATCTGCATAATTAAATATTTGGCCAGATGTAGAAGTAAGGATATTGTTAATATATAATGTAAACAAAATTGGTCCCAGCACAGTCCTTTGGGGTAGACCATAACTAAAAATTTTTTCTGTACTGTGCATATTATTAATTTTTACTACTTGCCGTTTGTTTGACAAGTCATCTCTAAATAGTTCATATAGCGTACCTCGTATTTCTACATTCTCCAGAGCTTCAAGCATCTGAGTGTAACTAACAGTGTCGATAGCTTTAGCAAGATCCAAAAGTATGCATAATATTGGCTCTTTTTACTAAACATTTTGTAATTTCTTCTACTAATTTTGTAATACCATCATTAGTTGATACACCCTCTAAATCCAAACTGTTTCTGAGATAATGTTATTTTTATCAAAAAATTTTAAAATTCGCTTATTGGCATATTATTTACACACTTTACATTACCACTTTTATGTATAGGAGTAACAACTGCTATTTTAAATTGCTG